CAAAGAAGAAAATAAGGCTCGTTATTTTAAAGTACCAAAAAGGTAGACAACTCTAGTTGTTATTCTAGTGATTATCTGTAACTAACTATTAAAGAAATGTAGGTTAATTATCGTCGAAGTCATCTAACAGTAGGTCCAGCAAACGAGTTGTGTCAGACTTTAAGGAAAGAGCGGGTTTGCCAAGAGCTGATTAGTATTATATTGGGACTCTTTGCATGGATCTATTCTAAATAAGTTGCAGTCTAATATTATGTTTGTTGTTGTATCGGTTATCTAGTCCTGTTTGGAGAGCTAGTCTCAGGATAGTTGTCATCGAAATTATCTAACGGGAGGCCCATGAAACGTGCTGTTTCGACGGGGTCGGATGATGAGTGGGAATCATTGGGCTTGCAAGGAGGCGGTTAGAGACGTGCGAGTACTCATTGCAAGCAGGACATATATTTGATATATCGGAGTCGATTTGGGATAGGTGGGAATTGAACCTGCTACAATATCCAAAACGAAGTTACGCAAAAGTTACTCTAGATTCGAGAGGCAACTCGAGCTTTTCGTCTGCAATGGGCGGTGGTATGACGCCAAGTACGACATTCACTGGGAGGGAATTAAGAAAGGGGTTTAATGGCTCCACTGTGATTGGCGTTCAGTCTGAAGGTAATTGCATCCGTAGTCTTGTCGACATATTGTGTCAACTATACAGTCGGTTCTACGTTACCGGTATTGACACGGATTTTATACGGCCCAAGGCTATTGGCATTCGGCTATCTAACCCTGTTTGGATCGGTAAGTTTTAAGTTATGTTTAAACTTATTGTAATCAAGCCTAGGCAATTATATTGCGGCGCTCACTTTTATTTCTAAATTATCCCATATCTGACTTTTACGAACTCAGGAAGTTCCAAGGTAGTTTTTACACATCCGGAAAGACGAGAATTGCTTATTTTTCAAATAGCAATACTCACTACGAAGTTCTGTTAGCATTTTAATTATTAGAAACTGGCTTAAAACTTGAACTTAATTGCTTAAAATCATACTTACAGCTGTGCTTTTTATGAGCACCCGATCGCTAAGCTAGTGTCTTCGTTTGGTTTGTTTTTTGTTTTTTATTTGCACTTTACTTGAACTTGCGCGACCGAGAATGAATTTCAATGCAGTCAACAAATACTGCAAATGCACAATCAATAACAACAATAGATCGCAAAAGCAACAACAACAAAAGGAAAATAAATTGCATATAGAATGTACGAGGAAAAAGTGAATTGCAAAAAAGCCTATCAAAACGCAAACACAAAGAATGAATGAATAAAAAATGACGCGAGAACACAGAACTTTAGCCTTATTTGCCGGTGCCGGACTGACGACAGCGCGATGTTAGCAGCGGTATGCGAAGTAGGGGAGTTTTTCTAGTACAGCGCTGTAATAGTAGTAGTGGTCGTATTGTGCACTTAAATGCAATGTAATTACAGCTGCAATTGCTAATGTGCTTATTGAATTGCTCGTACAATGGGCGCACTATGACGCCAGCGAAGGGGCGATATGGTGGGCGCAGCGGAATGCGACGACAGCGAAAGCGAAACGAACAAAGCAAAGTTTGTATGCACATACCTACAATCATATCGATATATATATATAGATAGTGAGTGCTAGTACACTAAATAGCCGACTATAATAATGCGAATAGACGACGCTACAAATAGATAGACGCATACAGAATCAAATAGCACACAAAGTACATACGATCGCGCCCGAGTGCATACAAACTTAACGTAACACACACACACACACATAATTACGAAAACACCCGTTTTGCCAATTTGCCTATTTCAACCGACCGAAAGACCGACCACCCGTTTGTGCAGCAGCCGAAGTCCCCACATTCAACGCCACCGCTTGCCGCTGACTCTCAACACAATTTACGAATTTTTGCCGGCACTTGCTGTGTGCTCTGCTGTTGCTTGGTTAGCCTAGGTACTTGTTTACGACGCTGCTTCGAGTAATCTTGTCATTTTCATTTGATGGTGTGTTGTTGTTGCTGTTTTCGCTGCTGCTTCGTATGCGCTCACTGCGCTGCTCGACTTTATATTTACTTTGATATTTTTATGGCGATAATGATGATAATAATGTAGTGGCCTGCAGTTGTTGTTGTTATTGTTGCAATTCCTGTTGTCTTAGAATAGAAGTTATGCAATACTGTGACTTTTTGCTTTTCCTTTAGTCGATTTCTTACTTTCTTTTTCTTTTTATACAAAGTTTTGGAGATTTGCTAAATAGATATGTACATATGTGTAGACATGTAGTTGTACCGTTGGTATATTTGTATTAGTAGGTGAATTTATGAGTGGAAGTGTGGTATTTGCTAGGCACACACATACGAATTCGTCGTGCTATTCAATTGCACTGGCGAGTAAATGGCAATAATACGTGGAGATATAACATATAGAAGCGTTGATAGGAAGAAGAAGCATAATCTATTTTCCTACTACTTTTACGCATTTTATATAATTTTAATTTGAAAGTAGTATATAAAATATATGAATTTCGATAATGACTAAAAAAAATATGGAAAAGATTATGAATTTTTCATTGGAGAATTTCACACAGTTGTAAGATTTTTTCTTCACCATAGTTGTTCTAGGAAATTAAGGTGCTAACTTTTCAGTGAATTGAATTCTATATTGATGTAAGCGTGTGTTGTTGTTGTAGCATTGATTTCAACCCTATTGAGCGGAGAGTTTAGTCTGTTTTCATTCACGTCTTTTGATCTCGATGAGATTACACCTTTAACAAAATGGTGTTGGTAAGTGGATTAGCGCTGTCACTATAAGCACAATACATGCTCAGCTCACCACTAATGATGAACCGTACAAATTCTCTCTTTGTTTGTTTTGTAAAAGTGACTTAAGCTTCCAAATCACTAGACTTCTAACGAAGTCAATAAAATACAGGAACTCTATATTTCGAATTGTTTTTAACGCACCGAAAGTTGTTAAGTGATAGATATTAGTACATCTGAGTTAAATCTGGATATATAAAAGCTTAACTTGCTATAATATTCAGAAGTGGCATGCTAACTACATGAGCTATTAGTATGATTTAGCTGTTGTTAGGATCACTATGAAGGAAGAAAGAAGTTCGCGAATTCTTATCGAAGTAGATTGCGTGTCAATCATTTGAAATTGTGCGCAAAAAAATTCAATGAAAGTCATAAAACACAAATGAATTTTTTTTTTTAAATTTTTACGCGTTTTAGTAGTGACTTAAAAACTAACAACAATCGACAGACATAAATGCACATACATACTTACGTATGTCTGACCTCTAGTCGCTCAGACGAGACGGAATTTTTTTAAATTGCAAATTTGCATAGTTTAAGTAATAAATAAACAGAAAAGTTTTCCATACAAGAACTTGATTTTGATCGTTTAGTTTGTATGGCAGCTATATGCTATAGTGGTCCGATCTAAATAATTTCTTCGCAGATTGTACCGTTCCCGTGGAAAATTGTTAAAAATTTTTATAACTGATTCAGGGTATAAATATTTCTAAGCGCAAAATTAAATAATTTCACCATCAATTTTTTGTAATGATAAAATTTTTTTTTAAGCTATGCATCCAAAAAATGACTTTTATGTATTTAATATAATTAAATCTTATTTTTATTTTTTTTATAATTTTTTTTTTATTACTAGTTTTTTTTTCATTTTTATTTTTTTTATTATTTATTTCATTTTTATTTTTTTAAGAGTATATACAATACATAGATTCCATGCGTACAGTTTTTGTAAAAAACCAAATCCCAACTCATGTATAGAAACTAAATTCGTTCATCAGAAAATGCATACATATGTACATACCTTCAATGTGTGTATATAGACCCAACCATACACAGATTTTTATCACCTGCTGCACCACCACCACTAAAATCCAAAAACCTCACTTAGCACTAACTGCATACAAAAATCAATGTCCAAAAGGTTTACACGCTTCAATTCCCGCTTTGCTACCACTTAAACATTTTCAACTTCTTCAACTACTTCGCTCGTTCCTTAAAACTCAATAGTGCTGTAAAACAACCTCCTACTACACCACCAGGCATAACAATATGACATACATACATACATACAAGTGTGCACAACTGAAGGAAGAGTGTAAAAGTATTAAAGAGCAAAACTGGATGGAAGAGGGAATCACTATAGTAGTGTCATAAAATAACACTGTATATGCCGCATCGTGTTGCATAGTTACCACCAGGCAGGCAGCAACATAGCGCGGAGCACTTTGGAGAGGCAGCAAAGCATAACAGCAGCAGCGGTGGCAGCAAACAAATGAACATGGCAAACAAGTACAATATGTATGGCAACGACAATCACAAAGCATAACAAAGAGCAGCCTGGCTGGGAGCTATTACAACACAAAATTGGATGTCTCTATGTACATATGTATATATGTATGTATGTATGTGGCTACATGGAAGCACAGAAAATATGCTGCTGCTGTAGAGGTTGCTTTGGCAATGGCTGTTTAACAGGCAGGGCAGCCTACTTCAATTGTCAAAAGGGAATCATGCAGTTCGTACTATGAACGTCTGTCTGTACAAGCTTTACCGTGGTGAACACACGAGAGAATGGTCGCAAGCAATGCGGCCATTTCGTTTACCATACCAACGCATGCTGCCGCCAGCCAACGTGTATTGGTTTGCGCTATTTGCTTAGGCTTCGTGAAGAATCAATAGTGTTTAAAGCTGGTGGAGGCAGTAATCAATGTTGAACTAAAGCTTGGATTTTTCCACACGCCACACTTGTATACACATTTATAATTAGCAAGATGTTTTGCTGCTGGAGTGCCTTTACAGGATTATATGTACACAAGTATAACAAAAATTTACTTTAAGAAAGCATAACTCTTTAACTCACACACATCACAATATATAACATAAATGCCTGCCTACCAATGGAAAAATAGTTAAAGTAAAAAATATATGCATAAATATTTAAATTTACTCACTTTTCACGATGCAACAAGCAAATACGATCCTTGGCCACTTTAAGCTTCTTAGCAATTATCTTCTTTAAGTTTTCCACTGAGATTTGTGGATCTACCGTCACACCAAAGTTACCACCGGTCGTCGTATTTATATTTAAGTTGATGTGGGGTAGTTGTAAAGCATGCGGCGCAATTGTGTGCTGTAATGTGGTGGCGGCAAGTGTGCCGCTCATAGGCATTGTGCGCGAGGGTAGTATGAAGGCGTTATGTCGCGCCATGGCGGCAGCAATTGAGGATGTTGCAGAACCATTACTATTTGATGTTGAAGAGTTGGTGGTTGATGCGGCTGGTGAGGACGACGACGACGACGACAACGAAAACGGCGATGCGTTACTCGTGGTGGAGGTGGCTGCAACGATGGTATGAGCTTTTGAAGAACTAAGCGCGTTGGGAGCTGCTGCTGTATTCCCATGCTGTGTTGTTAATCTGGTTTCTGACGACATTGATAATGTTGGTGTTGAACCACACCCTATACTTGCATTTTTACTACTAATGTTATTTGTTGGTCTCGATGTGGGTGGTGGCATCATATAGCTGGACAAGGTGGTATTGCTGCCGTCACAATGATTTGCAACCCCATCATGAGGAGATGGTGACGATGTCGTCCTCGTTGCGGAGGATGCTCCACCGACAACAGCACTTGAGGGCGACGGTGACGGTGGCGTTGGAGCAGAATCTGTTGATTTTTCCATGCCGTTATAAAAATGTTTCTAACTATTTTAAGTTTTTCCTTTTTTAATGGTGAACAATTGGGTATTTTTACGCCTTTTTAATAATTCTTTGCAGTTTGAATTTCTTGCTTGTTTTGCCGTTTTCACGATAAGTTTTCTGTGCTTAACAGCACATTGAAACACACAAAATAAAAAGGCAATTATTTTACTGAATTTTTTTTTTTTTGTTTCTACTTTGTTTCCAATCACTTATAAACACACACACTCACGTTATACATATGCAAAGCTACGTAATCGATCGATTTCCCCACACCTTGTGGGATAGTGGAATGAATGGTTATGGCTGCGCGCGGCCTACGTACACGTATGTATATGAGATAGAAACGTAGACGACTTGATAGGCTTCGAAAAAGTCAGTGATGGCGACGGCGTCAACAACAACGACAACGACGACAGTTGCGAAACCATACAAAAATTGAAAAAGGCAGCCTTACGGAGTTATTGCAACGGCAACGGCAACTCTATGCCCACAAAAAGTGAATTGAAATTAAAAAAAGAAACAAAATTTGACACCGTCCACTGTTGCTGCTTTACGTCTACGTACGTTTTTAGTTTGCTTTGTATATTTGTTTGTATGTGTATGCACTTATGTGAAATCTACGCTTGGCTGGTGCGAAGTGGTGAGGTATTCGATGCTGCTACTGCAGCTCAATCCACAAATAAACACAATGATGATGATGTTAATGTTTGGTGGTTACGTCGTCAACGACAACGACGTTGATTTCTTCTGTTGCTGTAGCTTTCAAAATTTTCGAGGGCACACACGAATGCTGTGTGAAATCCACTTACAACAACAACACAATAACATAAATTAAATACAATCACTACTGCCGCTGCTGCTGCGGTTTCGACGCTCACAGAAATTCAATGAGAGCAAGCAAACGAACTAACTATAGCGACAACGACGATAGCGCCAGGCGATGACGACAACGTTTTACCAAAAAAAAAAAATCCAGGCCAAACCGACTCACTCTAAATTCAATAAAATCAAACGAACTCACTGAAAGCCGAAAAGCAACTGAAATCAACTGAAATTGTCTATTGCCCGTTGCCTGCTGACTGGCGGCTGCAGCAGCAAGCCCAAGACAGCTCAGCGAAGCAGCGTTGAACCAGAATGGGTTTTTCTTTCTTTGTTGTTTTTGTTGTTGAATACTCTCTTGCGCTTGTAGCAACCTTGCGAGTCGCGAAAATATTTATAAATACATTTTAGTGTAGCGCTCTGGCGTTATGTCGGTCGCTATGTGATAACAGAGCGCCAACAACAGCGCAATGGAGAAGGAAATAATCGTAACAGAGAGCGACGCGCTGCCGACTTCACTCTCAAGCGTTCGGAAACTAGTCGCGTAGCATAAATATTAAAGTGCACGACGCATATACATACATATTTGTACAGTATGTATGTTTGTATGTATTTACGTAAGCTCATCTGTGTGTTTGCATTTTATTTTTGCATTTGCCTCTGGATGGAGTGGCGGTAGCTCACTGCAAAAAAATATCAGCAATTGAGAAAAAAACTAAAACGGAATAGGCGGTGGAGCGAGGTGTCGAATTGGGCAATAGGATTGTCTTTGCTTTATTTTTTGCTTTTGCGTTTTGCTCAAGGCGACGCTCATATTAACATATGTAAGTAGATATGTATGTATGTAGCTATGAATAAAATACCACTTAACAAGGTGTTTGAGGAAATTATTAAAATTAGATTGGAAATATTAACGCCTAAGTTTCATAAAATAAATTCCTCAGAATTATACGGTTAACGAAAAATTAACAGTTCTTCTCTTTTTAAGAAAAGTGAGATATTTTAAAATATGTATGTACATACATATTGATATATACATATGTTTATAAGTATGTATGCCACTAAAATGGCAGGCTGATCATTGCGTGGGAGCCAAAAGCAAATAATTTTCGTGTGGTGAAAATTTCAACGCGCACAACATGGAATTGTGTTGCCAACTCCAAAGAGCGCCGTCAACAGTGCTGTTAACGTTGATGTTGCGCTGCTGCTGTAGATTGCGCTGCGCTCGTGACCGGCAAAGCTAACGGTGACGTCAGCTATTGAGCAAACCGCGTGTTAATTGACAAACAGTGGTGACGTTGTGCAAAACAACTACTGGTTTGCCAAAAAGGGGGAAATATATAAAATTAATAAAACATATGGGAAAGGTAAAATTTTAGTTTCAACCCGTTATTACCTAACATTAACATAACAGCGGGTTTAACAAAATGAAATGAAATTCCAATGGAGGTTCCACGTGTTTTCGGCTGCACATTTTACTTAAACGTGCGAAAGCTAGTATGTACACCTAAATACATGGGTTAAATAAATATGTATTTATATACAATGATTTTGAAATTCGAGTGTGCATATTAAATATATGCCTTTTTTAAATTTTTTGTGTTCCTTGTTTATATGGTAAACTACAAAAAGAAATGCTAATAATGATGCTCTCTGTAAAGAATTCTGTTTATGCTCGGCAGCGGCGGAAAACATACATAAGTTATATATTTTAAAGGATTTTATGGAATTATCTATAAATTGTGTAGGTCACTTGTACATAGTATATAAGATAGAAAGTTTTGAAAAATGTAATATTTTTTTATATAAGTTTAAGCGAATAATTTTTTATCATTTCGGTTAAAATTTTTATGTTAAATGTTATTCAAATATCTCATATAAAATATCAATATACATACGTATTTCTATTCCCTATACAATCTCATACTCAAAATTTGCTGCTTGCTATTTTATGTGGGTGAACAGCATTTTTTACATATTTCTGCTAAATAGCAGCGAATATGTTAGAAAATGGTGAATACCCTACTGGGTGTTTATTCTACGCACTCTGCTTCAATACAAAATAAAGTGTTGCCGTTACACTTAATTTACGAAATAAACAGATTGTTAAATCGACGATTTTGAAGTCAGTATGTTAATAATAAATTATATTTTATAAAATCATCAAGTTAATATATTTTATAATTTAGATATATATTCGAGTTAAAGTATGAAATTTTTGACGTTTTCTAATTCTTCTGATATATTGCATAAATAGGGTTTAATAAATAAAAAATTTACACTTTATTTAGAATACTGCATGCAAATTGTATTGAAATAATAATTTAAGAACTCGTCAATGATTTCTTTATGCATATATTCTGGTTTCATCATTTATTTTCTGAAAATTATCTCTTAATTCGTAAAATTCGTAATCAATTTTATAAAAATCCAAATCTGTATTTTTTTATTAATGTATTATAACACTACTGTACAGCAACACTATCTTACAGAAAAGTCTCTATTAGTAAACACCCTGTGCTACGGTTGGTGTCAATGGTTGTCTAAATAATCTTCGCGGGTATATGTCTTTGCTATATTAGTGCTGTCGAGCAGAAATAATTTAATTTTATTAAAGTTTAAAAAAAATAATAAATTGTCTGAAAATTTGATATAAGCTAAATCTTAGAAAAATCTACATGGAAGAGAATTTTCCAAGTGTCAATCGTATCGTGACAGAGAAATTGCATTCCCAAAAAATCCATATAAAAAAATTTAACTACATGCCAACACAAAACCATTGAGTTTGATACTCATATTGTAATATTGAACATTTTTTTGCCGAAAATATTTTTAAACGGGTTACTGCCTTCTGAAATTTTTTTTTACTGTAAGCCTAATCAAACCCCTTTAGTTTGATATCCATACTGCATTATTTCACTCATTTTTTAAACTAATATTTCCAGACAAGTGGCAATATTCCGAGAAAATATTTTACGACAAAAATATTTTTTAACCCAATTTGATTGCGTGTTTAAACCATAGTACCTTATTTATTTTTTTAATGTAACTGACTCCAAATTTTTAAACGGGTGGCAATCCTTCTGAAACATTAAACGGTCAGCCTATTCAAATCCCTTTAGTTTACTACTCATATTACAATATTTTATTTATGTATAGTATCAATGGTTGTAAAACAAAAATTTATAAACAGGTGGCAGTATCTGTCGAAAACGGTTTTCAGCGGCAAGTCTCTTCAAAACGCTTCAGTTAGACCCCCATATTTCAATATTTAAAGTTTTCAACTAAAAATTTTAAACAGGTGGCAATATTTTTCGAAAATATTTTCTTTTTAAACCTTTTAATTTTCTTAACCATATGTACTGTAATATTTATAATTTTACAAATTTTAGAGAATTATAATTTCCACAACAGGTGGCAACCACCCATACTTCTTTTGTGCGTCCTTATTGGCGATTCTCTTCCTTTAGCAATGTTTTATTATGTTATTTTAAGTTAAAAAATATTAAAATACTTTCAGACTACCCTAATGATCCATCATTGTCCTGTAGAAACCTGTGTCCATAATTTCCTCACTATTTCCCCCCACTTTAGTCGTAGCGACAACAACAACGCACGCGATAAACGAAATAAAACTCCATTATTTGTATACTTTAAATATTAATCTTGTATATTTATGTGGTTATATTTGGTTTGTTTGTGTATTAATGCATAGATGTGTGTGTGTGTGTGTCACGTGGTTCATTGGCCCATCAGCTTTTTTCTAGTATGCATTTATATACTATATGTTTTTATATAATTTATGTATTCGTGTGTACACAATTTTACTGTTTTTTATGTGTATGTGTGTGTATATAGTAGCTTCAGTTATGAGAGATCTGCTCATAATCAATTTGCAAATTCAATACAATTCTCAATAGTTGCTAAATAAACATTTCACTGATTATTACAATAATACGAGTATATTCGCAGACGCATACAATTACATAATGTTGCACCCTATGCAATTATGTACATATGTATGTATGTATGTGTGTGAGTGTGCATACATTTGCTTGTATGTGTGTGTGTATTTGCATAGCGTTTGCCTCAATAATATCAGTACTTAACAAATTTTCAGAGTCGGTTGAGAGGGAGGCATGAGGAGTATTCTCGTGTTCTAGTAGCAGCGTTGGCAAGTATTTTTTTTTTTTTTAATTTTTCTCATTATTTCTGTTTTGCCTTTAAAAACAACAAATTATATTTAATTTGCTTATAAATTTTTCTTGAATTGTTTCGCTTTTTTTTGTTCTCTCAAATGCTTTTATTTATGTTTTCTGGCTTTTTTCGCTATGACTGTATTTCCAAACATACATTTAGGCGCTTAAATAAGTTTCTTCGTGTTGTGTGTGTATTTATAGGTACAATTGCAATTATATAATTGAATGATAAGTAAAAATATTTGCAATTTTTCGCTTTAGGAAAATGGAAATAAATCCAAATGTATGTTTGTATGTATGTGTGTGTTTGCCTTTAATTCATGAGCAGTTAGCTTCCATTTTGTATATACATACTTGTATATATACAAGTATATCCAAAAACGTAAATGTAAGAAGCTAGTGACGTCAGCAGCGCTCGAAATTTTTATTATATAACCGTTACATGTATATAGCATCTAACCAACAACACAAACATACAATTTCGCTACTCTAAGACACACTAACAGAAGGCAGATAGTCTATGCATGGATGTTTGTTTATTTCTATGTATGTACTTTAGTGTTTTTGATACAAATCGATTTTTTTTGGAGAAATTGCTAAAAGACATATGATTGGTTAAGAAGGTTAAAAAAAAAAAATTGAATTGTGAATAGAAAAATTTAAATATAAATATATTAGGAGAAACAATTATAAAAATAAAAAAATATACTAATACTAATAACAAAATAAAATATAATACGCAATAAACATTAAAAGAAATATATGAGAAGTAATATTAAAAAGAAAATGAAGTATATTAATTTTAGTTTATTAAAATATACTCATTTAAGTTAAAAAAAAAAACATTGCAATAAACTAATAACAAAAACTTTATAAATTTTTTGAAATAATAATAATATTATTATATTTTTTTGAGCACTAATATTTTAGACCGTCAAATTTCTAATTAAAATCACACATATTTAAATTGAAATAATTTTACCTAAAAATTAAAAACAACTAAAATTATTTTTCAAATAATTAGAGTGTCTAATTAAGGAACCAAGGTGGCAAATAATTGCTAGTTATCTTAGTGCTTTCCATGAAATTGAAATTTTTTTGGAAATTAAATTTATTTTAAATTTTTTTTTTTACAATTTACTCATTTTCTACGCGCCACTGTTTGCTAAATTAATTTAAAGTCCAAATTTTATTCATTACGAAGCAGCAAGCTACTGAAGTATTAACTACAACAACAAATCTACAATGATTTTCATATACATGCACTGGTATATGCCTGTAAATATATTTATGTATGTAAGTATGTGCTTTTTTCAACACTATATATGCCATTGCTAACACACCATATCAAAACTATATATATGCTTTTTGTTTGCTATTGTTTATATTTAGCTGTATGCACTTGTAAATGTGTATAAATGTTTCACTAAAAGGAAAAACAAAAAAAAAAATTATGAAATAAAACAAAAAATAAAGGAATAAAAAAAAAATAAATAAAAAGGTAATAAAAAAATTCAAATTTATTTAATAATCTCTAATTATTTTTTGTTAAATTAGAGTTTGATTTTTCTTAGTAAAGTAAAACATTTTGAAAAACATCTTTATAATTAAAAATTATATGTAAATAAAATCAATTTTTTTTGTTATATGGTACATATATGCACATAACGAAGTTTAAAAAATATTTTTTAAATTTTCAACAAAAAATATTTTTTTGATGACCGCTTATTATTTTCTAATTAAATTTAATTAAAAACATATTTTTAACAATTTACTCCAAACATGTGTGAGCTTGAAATTCCATTTCACAATAAATCTATGCTTTGAGTCACACTGTACTTAAAATGTACGCAATATTTCCGCAACATGTTGTTGCAGCATTTACATTACAGCTGGCAAATTTAAATTGTTATTGAAAAGTGACATTTCATTTAAATTCAGAGCAAGTTAAAGACTTTTAAAAAATCTCGCTTATAAAAAAAAAATATTGTATAATTAAATAAATTAGGTTGTGATGATTTAGTGGAAGAAGAAGCGTTAAATATCATACTTAAGATGTCATGTAGAAATTCAATTCCAGATTAATTTATTGAATTGAATTATAACTCAATAACTTCACATGGTAAAGGAAAACAGGTTTCACTATACGCTTTTAGTTTTTCATGGTTTTTCCATGTATTCATATGCCATCGGCACAGTGATTCTAATATTCCGGACATTGCTCTGACACCAAACATTACAAAGAGACTTCTTAGTTCGACAGAAACAGGTGCAGAGGTGCATCATATTAAAAACTATTAGATATTATTTTTGCAATAACCGATAAACAAATCCATAAAGATGGAAAAGCCATAATCAAAGTAATGTGTTTGGTTTCGGAGCATAGCTTTCCAAGCCATACCAGCTCGGTAAAATATATTGAAATTAATGAGTGCAGCTGAGTTGTGATTTGGACCGACTCAATCATTAATCATATTTTGGTTTTCTTAAAAAAAGTATATCCAGCTGATGGTT